AAAGATTCTCCAATGAGACACTGCAGGTTTTAAACGATGTTATCAAAAGATTCTCCAATGAGACACTGCAGGTTTTAAACGATGTTATCAAAAGATTCTCCAATGAGACACTGCATGTTTTTAAAGGATTTTATCCAAACATTCTCCGTTGAGACACTGCATGTGTAGTGTTTGGAGTATTGAAATTGCCAATCGATTAACAATCAACCACAAATGGTATCCGCTGGATACAGCAGAAATTGTATCCGCTGGATACAGGAGAAATTGTATCCGCTGGATACAGGAGATATTGTATCCGCTGGATACAGGAGATTTTGTATCCGCTGGATACAGGAGAAATTGTATCCGCTGGATACTGGAGATATTGTATCCGCTGGATACTGGAGATATTTTATCCGCTGGATACAGCAGAAATTGTATCCGCTGGACACAGGAGTTTGTGATAGAAGCCCTCCCTACGCGATTCTCAAATGTGGCCCTCTCATAATGATTTTATTTGTAGAATTTGTAGTAGTAGATGCATGTGTAGTGTTTGGAGTATTGAAATTGCCAATCGATCCACAATCAACCACAAATGGTATCCGCTGGATACTGGAGATATTGTATCCGCTGGATACAGCAGAAATTGTATCCGCTGGACACAGGAGTTTGTGATAGAAGCCATCCCTACGCGATTCTCAAATGTGGCCCTCTCATAATGATTTTATTTGTAGAATTTGTAGTAGTAGATGCATGTGTACTGTTTGGAGTATTGTATTCTCAAATGAGACACTGCATGTTTTTGAACGATTTTATCCAAAGATTCTCCATTGAGACACTGCATGTTTTTAAACGAATTTATTAAAAGATTCTCCATTGAGACACTGCATGTTTTTGAACGATTTTATCAAAAGATTCTCCATTGACACACTGCATGTTTTTGAACGATTTTATCAAAAGATTCTCCATTGACACACTGCATGTTTTTGAACGATTTTATCAAAAGATTCTCCAATGAGACACTGCATGTTTTTAAACGATTTTATCAAAAGATTCTCCAATGAGACACTGCAGGTTTTAAACGATGTTATCAAAAGATTCTCCAATGAGACACTGCATGTTTTTAAAGGATTTTATCCAAACATTCTCCGTTGAAACACTGCATGTGTAGTGTTTGGAGTATTGAAATGGCCAATCGATCCACAATCAACCACAAATGGTATCCGCTGGATACAGGAGATGCTGTACCCTCTGGATACTGGAGATATTGTATCCGCTGGATACAGGAGTTTGTGATGGAAGCCCTCCTTACGCGATTCTCAAATGTGGCCCTCTCATAATGATTTTATTTGTAGAATTTGTAGTAGTAGATGCATGTGTACTGTTTGGAGTATTGTATTCTCAAATGAGACACTGCATGTTTTTAAACGATTTTATCAAAAGATTCTCCAATGAGACACTGCAGGTTTTAAACGATGTTATCAAAAGATTCTCCAATGAGACACTGCATGTTTTTAAACGATTTTATTAAAAGATTCTCCAATGAGACACTGCAGGTTTTAAACGATGTTATCAAAAGATTCTCCAATGAGACACTGCATGTTTTTAAAGGATTTTATCCAAACATTCTCCGTTGAGACACTGCATGTGTAGTGTTTGGAGTATTGAAATGGCCAATCGATCCACAATCAACCACAAATGGTATCCGCTGGATACTGGAGATATTGTATCCGCTGGATACTGGAGATATTGTATCCGCTGGATACTGGAGATATTTTATCCGCTGGATACAGCAGAAATTGTATCCGCTGGACACAGGAGTTTGTGATAGAAGCCCTCCCTACGCGATTCTCAAATGTGGCCCTCTCATAATGATTTTATTTGTAGAATTTGTAGTAGTAGATGCATGTGTAGTGTTTGGAGTATTGAAATTGCCAATCGATCCAAAATCAACCACAAATGGTATCCGCTGGATACTGGAGATATTGTATCCGCTGGATACTGGAGATTTTGTATCCGCTGGATACAGGAGATATTGTATCCGCTGGATACAGGAGATTTTGTATCCGCTGGATACAGGAGAAATTGTATCCGCTGGATACTGGAGATATTGTATCCGCTGGATACAGGAGAAATTGTATCCGCTGGATACTGGAGATTTTGTATCCGCTGGATACAGGAGAAATTGTATCCGCTGGATACTGGAGATTTTGTATCCGCTGGATACAGGAGAAATTGTATCCGCTGGATACTGGAGATATTGTATCCGCTGGATACAGGAGAAATTGTATACGCTGGACACAGGAGTTTGTGATAGAAGCCATCCCTACGCGATTCTCAAATGTGGCCCTCTCATATTGATTTTATTTGTAGTAGTAGATGCATGTGTAGTGTTTGGAGTATTGAAATTGCCAATCGATCCAAAATCAACCACAAATGGTATCCGCTGGATACTGGAGATATTGTATCCGCTGGATACAGGAGAAATTGTATACGCTGGACACAGGAGTTTGTGATAGAAGCCATCCCTACGCGATTCTCAAATGTGGCCCTCTCATATTGATTTTATTTGTAGTAGTAGATGCATGTGTAGTGTTTGGAGTATTGAAATTGCCAATCGATCCAAAATCAACCACAAATGGTATCCGCTGGATACTGGAGATATTGTATCCGCTGGATACAGGAGAAATTGTATCCGCTGGATACAGGAGATATTGTATCCGCTGGATACAGGAGATTTTGTATCCGCTGGATACAGGAGAAATTGTATCCGCTGGATACTGGAGATATTGTATCCGCTGGATACTGGAGATATTTTATCCGCTGGATACAGCAGAAATTGTATCCGCTGGACACAGGAGTTTGTGATAGAAGCCCTCCCTACGCGATTCTCAAATGTGGCCCTCTCATAATGATTTTATTTGTAGAATTTGTAGTAGTAGATGCATGTGTAGTGTTTGGAGTATTGAAATTGCCAATCGATCCAAAATCAACCACAAATGGTATCCGCTGGATACTGGAGATATTGTATCCGCTGGATACAGCAGAAATTGTATCCGCTGGACACAGGAATTTGTGATAGAAGCCATCCCTACGCGATTCTCAAATGTGGCCCTCTCATAATGATTTTATTTGTAGAATTTGTAGTAGTAGATGCATGTGTACTGTTTGGAGTATTGAAATTGCCAATCGATCCAAAATCAACCACAAATGGTATCCGCTGGATACTGGAGATATTGTATCCGCTGGATACTGGAGATTTTGTATCCGCTGGATACAGGAGATATTGTATCCGCTGGATACAGGAGATTTTGTATCCGCTGGATACAGGAGAAATTGTATCCGCTGGATACTGGAGATATTGTATCCGCTGGATACAGGAGAAATTGTATCCGCTGGATACTGGAGATTTTGTATCCGCTGGATACAGGAGAAATTGTATCCGCTGGATACTGGAGATATTGTATCCGCTGGATACAGCAGAAATTGTATCCGCTGGATACTGGAGATATTGTATCCGCTGGATACTGGAGATATTGTATCCGCTGGATACTGGAGATATTGTATCCGCTGGATACAGCAGAAATTGTATCCGCTGGACACAGGAGTTTGTGATAGAAGCCCTCCCTACGCGATTCTCAAATGTGGCCCTCTCATAATGATTTTATTTGTAGAATTTGTAGTAGTAGATGCATGTGTAGTGTTTGGAGTATTGAAATTGCCAATCGATCCAAAATCAACCACAAATGGTATCCGCTGGATACTGGAGATATTGTATCCGCTGGATACTGGAGATATTGTATCCGCTGGATACAGGAACTGAAATGGAAGCCCCCCCTAGGCGATTCTCAAATAACTCTCGAAATAAGGTAAGAAATTGTAGTAGTAAAAGTGTACAATTAAATCGTGTGCTTCGAGAAGTGAGCGTGCGCTCGTTCTCTGTGATCCCATTTAAATCAAAATATAAATGAAACACATTAATAATAAAATGAATAATAAATCAATTGAAACAAAAATAAATAAAAATACAAAAATTAAAATAAATAAATAATAATACAAATAAATATATAATAAAATAAAAATAAATAAATGAATTTTAAATAAATATTAAATAATTGTTTAAAATGTAAATTATGTAAAAATTGAAATAACATGTGAAACAACCCAACACCCACCCACCCAAAGGCACAAAAGTGTTCCAACGAAGCTTGAAATGTAAGCAAATGGCAATCTAAATGGAAGTCAAGTGAAAAGTGCATTCTGTGAGTGAAAGTGCGAGCGAGTAAAAATAATGTTGAAAGGACTGGCAAGGAATACGAGGCGACACGAAGTTATTATTTATTTTTTTTAATGTTTTTGTGTTTGTGTGTGACTACCAGCTACCAACAACAAACTACAAAAACATATTACAACAAAAAACTACAACAACAAACTACAACAGCGCAATAAAAGGAAACAGAAAGTAATGTTTCACAATTTACTAATGGGAACAGGCGAGTGTTTCAATTTTGATTTACTCTGTTTACTGCTTTTTTCTTCCTATTTAATTTTATTATTATATTTATATATTTCTTCACTTTTTGTATTTTCTCTCGTATTTCCTCGTTTGACTCCTTTTCCATTAAATGTGTTGTTTTTTTTTTTTTAATATAATATATTGAATTGAATATAATTGTTTTTAGGTCTTCAATTATACTGAAAACATCTTGGGCGTACCGTGGAACGCATATTCTGTACAATTCTCAAAAGTTTCACATTCATATGCTGCGGGGGCTCTTTTAAGCTTTACTCGTAGTACTCAGTATTTTATCAAACGTATTGCTTCATGTACATGCTCTGAATACGTTCACCGTTCCCTCACCGCAGTAAACAGTTCAACCCAAGTCCATAGGTCCGCCAGAAACAAATAGCAGTCTTTTCGATAGTACACATTCGTTTCTTATGAAATTCTAGATTTCCCTTAGAATTTCAAAGATGGAAATAAAACAAGTTTTGTATTTTTTTACACATTTAAAGATACATTTAAAATGTTTCTAGGGTTTATTTGACTAGTTCCATTGCATAAACATTAATACAAGATTCATTTACGGTTTGGTTTTACACTATCCACGTTTTTCAAATTGTTTTTTTTTCTTTTGTATCTCTTTGATCAACTCTACGCGCGATTCGATGGATGATGGTGGGTGGAGGGTGGACGGGGGGCCCCCAACCCGACGGTAGAACTAGCAGTTTGGGTTTGAAGAAATTTGGTGTTTAGTCAGAAGGCCCCTGGGATGGGGCCAACTTGAAAAAGGTGTGAGCTTTCTTCGCCCCCAAACATGGGTAGCCAGCTCACAGTTGGATCCGGGGCCGCCGCGCACACGTCGTCGAGCTCTGTAAAGTTTTGGGGAAGGGGAAGGGCAAAGGGAGGGAGGGGGTCTACGATAAGGTAAGGACAAAGGTATGGGTGAGGGTAATATAATAATTGGTAATTAACTTTAGTTTAGTTTTTTAAGCATAGTTTACACGAAAAGTGGGTTTGGAAACATTTACACTTATGTACATACATACATGCATACACATTTAACTGACACATACATCCGAACACTTAATAAACATTTATATATGTATATATGTAGAATATGTGGTAATAGTAATATTTAGCAAACATTCCAGGACACCTCCACTACACGGAGTATGCCCCAGCACTATGTAAGTGTGTGTGTTTCGAGACTCTTTTAGCCATGGTTTGTCGTCTTCTTGTTTGATATTCTTTTTCGATTGGTTGTGTTCTTCATTACATTAAAATAAGGGTCACAAAATATTGTTTTACAAATAGTAAATTGGTGTTTTTTCTTCTTTTCCTTTTCCTGTTTCTTCTTCTGTATTGCGTATCCTCATATTCATATTTAGTCCATATCGTAGTCGTCAACATGGGGGGTGTACTGTAATTGTAATTATTTTGAATCCTAGAACCGCCTCAAGGCCAGGGTTCGCTTCAGGTAGAGACAAATGGCCCGGTGTATCAGCTCATACTGCTCGGAGTTCTGGACCATGCCGCCGCGCTGCAAGCGTAGATTGCACACAATGCCCAGCACGTCCACAAAGATGTCTGGCATCTTGGGTAGCTTGTCGAAGGTGGGCGGCTCCTGGTGGTCAATTATCTGCCGTATATGCCGTATGGTGTTGCATGTGAAGCTGCTGTCGCTGTCGTCGTGATTCGCCTCCGAGTTGCAGTCAAAGTCTGCCACATACAGAGCTTTGGTCAGCATTCCGGTGAGAGAGTAGGCCAGCGACTGACGCACCTGCCGCACGGCATTCAATATGGCCGTGAAGCAGCCGGTCCGCCCGATGCCAGCCGAGCAGTGGATAACGGGCAAGGGCTGCACGGCATTGAAAATGTCCTGCTTATAGATGTCCAGACGCTGGGCCGTCAGATGGGCATTGCGCACGCTTCGACTCTCGTCGTAGTTGTCAAACTCCGATTCGCATTTGCCCAGATTCAGGACATGCAGACAAGTGTCCAGCAACGTATTGATGTCTCGCGGCGAGTGGTGATCGGGCCAATCCGGATACCAGTAGTGATAGCAGCAGATCTTTTGCAGGTGATAGCTCGCCGTCTGCGGCACATGGATGCAGTAGAGTAGCACAAACTTTCGCACCGAGTACCCGTTTCGTCGCACAATACCCACGTTCTTCACCAGAAAAAAGTTGCTCTGGGCTGGCAGACTCTCCAGCAGTTCGCTGTCCAGCGTCACCTTCAGCGACTCGACGCCAATGTGCTGATAGCTCAGATCCTCGAGCTCATTAACTCGCGGCGGCGGTGCCACTGCAGTGTCCGGCACAGACATGGGCACCAGGTGCTGGTCAAAGTATTCCCGGGCAGCCGTACTCAGACAGAACACCTCGCACTTGGCGGCCACAGCGAATATCTCATTGAGGTCGATGGGAAAGTAAATGGCGCACTTCTGCCGATTCGCCTCCGTAAAGTTGGTGAGCATGACGATCTTCTGAAAGTACTGCTGCAATATCTGCGACCTTTCCATGTGCGGACTGCTGCTGCTGCCCCCGTCTACGCAGCGGCGGATGTAGCGCTGCGTGTTCTGGTAGATCATCAGCCAGAACTCGAAGATGGTGTTGGGCAGCGGACCTTGGGTGGCCACATAGCACTTGGACACGTAGTCGGGTCCCTGCAAGAACAAAATTAGAATCATTCGGATACTTATAGGAAGATGGGACTCACCTTGATATAATTGGCATTGATGTAGGGCGCATCCTCGTTGGCGGACACATAGAGGGCTTTCTCCAGCTCTTGCGCCTGCTCCTCCAGGCTGATGAGCTCGCTGGCCTCTGGCTCGAGCAGCACACGGGAATGCTCGTTGGGCAGAATCGTCTTGTAGCGATTCTTCGTCTGGGACCCAAACACCATGGGCTTCTCCTGATGGTTGAGCGGCAGATCCCAGAACTCCTTGTGTAGATCGCAGAAGATGCGCTTCTGCTCGGCCTCCTCCAGCTGTGGCATCGACTGCACAATCCGCTGAACCACCGCCTGATAGCAGGCAATCAGCTCGCTATCCTCCGAGCTGGGCGGCAACTGATTCGTGGGTGTCTCCATCTCAGCATCGCGGCCATTCGAGCCCAAAACCGGCGGCTGTTCAATGATGTTCTTGCTGGTCTTGTAGCTGTGATCGAAAACGTGATTGAGGCGGATCAGATCGAACTGGTTCAGTGGATTGGAGGCACTCTGCAGCATCTGGATGCTGGCCAAATAGATCTTGAACTCCTCGCTGGTCGTCTGCGGCGAGAGGGGCCGTGTCATGATGTTGCGCACCGTAGCACCGGCGCAGGTGCAGGCAATGCTCTGCTCGGTACTGGCCGGACCTCCCTGTACCGGATTGGGCTGCAGGTCAGAAGCAGATCCGAAGCACACCTGGCCAAAGAACTGGTTGTTCTGTTTATTGTTGCTGTTCAGATTCTCGGTGCTGAAGAATTTCCGCTGGTGCGGGGCCTGGCTGGAGGCGGCACAGCTGCAGACTGTGACCTTGGGCTGGCCACACACATCCGGAACGGGCAGTTCGCCGCCACACCCCACCCCCAGAATGCTGCCCATATTGAGGGTGAGACTCTGATTGGATCCGCGCCGCTCCAGCAGACCGCGTTTGGGTGTCGGCACATTCGATCCCGATCCCGAGCCCGTCGAATTGGTTCGCATGCTCAATCTGTTGTACTTCTCGGCATTCAGCATCGCCTGCTGCTGTTGCTGTAGGTCTCCGCACGAGGTGGTGGTGTGTCCCTTCAGTGTGATGCTGTGAGTGGATCCCCGCCTGCGGAATAAGCCCTGACGATTGCCCTGGCTGCTGGCAAGATGTTGGGGTGTCTGCTGCTGACTGGTGCCTGCCAGTTGAGTGGCTCCGCTGCCTGTGCCCCCGCCAGCATCCAGGTTGCAGCTGGACTTGGAGTTGAGTATGGATCCGAGGCTGTAGTTGGACAGGCTGAGGCCGCTGTTCATCAGGTTGCCGCACGAGCTGTGCAGATTGAGAGTGAGACTGTGGTTAGATCCACGTCGCTGCAGGAGATTCATCGATGAGGTGGACACCGTCGTCTTGGCCTGAAGATTGGGCATAGGCAGGTCCATGGACTTCTGTTTGAAGGGCGACTCCTTGGAGGAGGAGCCGCCGCCGCCGCCAGATGAGAACTCTACCAGGGTGAGGCATTCGGGCAAGGTCTTCAGATTGGTGCTGGACGAGTGCAGCAGCTGGTTATGCTTGTGGGCACTGCGCGGCGCCAAAGTGGCGCCCAGGCCGAACTTTGAGCTGCTGTCCACGCTGCAGGCGGACTTCAGCTCGGCGGCGCTGCGCTGCGGGGAGTCACTAAGGCTCATTTCCGAGTCCAGCGAGCTCTGAGCCGTGCTACTGCTGCCATGATATGGATTCTGCTTGCGGTGGTACATCAGCCAGTTGGGATTATCGATGCCGGGCGACTTTCGGCGCGCAGTGCGACGGACATTGTGACTGTCGAGACGAGAGAGCGATGTCGAGTGTATGCTGGCGGAGGAGGTGGGCTGCTGCAGATGGTGGATGTGGATGCCACCGGCCAAGGGTTTGTTCTGGTTGTCCATCATGTCCTCGCAGCTGCCATGAGATTCGGTTATGTTGTGCACCACAATCGACAGCTCCGTCTCGTTGGCCGCCGAGTCCAGGGAGCGGGCTTTCTCCTTGGTGCTCTTGATGGTGGGCGTCTTTGGTTTGGGCAGCGGCGATACCTGTCCACCGGAGTGTTTGATGGGCACATCTGTGATGCGAATGGTGAGATTGTTCTTGTTCTTGCGATTCTTCCGGCCTTCGGCTCTCTGCTGATCTTGCGGCTCTACACGCGCCAGCTCGGCGGCCAGTGATTCCTTGCCCCTGAAACGCAACCCTTGGGCCGCTTCCTCAATATGTACTGCATCGATTGGAGCCTCCTGGACGACATGATGATCGATCTCGGGGAAGCGAAAGAAGTTCCCGCTCTTGTAGCCAGCCGAATTGATGATGTTCAAGGGAGAGCCGTGGCCGGACAGATTCAGATTGTTAATGGACGACAGAAACTTTGGTGAATAGGTGAGACGGCTCGCCTCAAGGCCGCCGGGCGTCGAGGAGGATTCATCTCTAAATATAATTGTGGGTGAGTTGTGCTCGCTCTTGGACAGATACAGACTATTCTCTAGATCGTCGCCGGACTTTGGAATTGTGTTCTCCTTGTCGGTGGTGCCTCCTCCCCTGCCCCTCTGCTCCTCTGTGGTGCTAGCAATGTGCGGTGAGCAGGATCGTCGATCGTATAGGGAGAAACGCTTGAACTTTCGATTCAATGTCGGTGACTGCGTGACGTGGTGGGGTGGATTCGGGTGGGCGATGGTGAACTGCTTGGCCGTATAGGGGCGTGCGGAATCCTCTATATCGTGGTCGAGTGCCTCTGCGGGTAGTGTGGTGGCGGTGGCTGTGCCGACGACACCCCCTGGCGATTGCGTTGCTGTTTCGGTTGTGGGCGATGGGAACTCAAAGGAGGTTTGCAGAAATTCCATGGGTGTGTAGTACGGTGTGCTCTTGTTGCTCTCCACATCCTCGACATCAATTGTGGTCGGGTAGGGGGTCGGGGGGTACTCAATTGATGCATTTTCCTTGTTGTTGTTTTTTAACTTGTCCATTATACACACACACACACATACGCAAGTGCAAAAGCAAGGCGCACAAAGCGCGTTCGCTTCGCCCGGTAAGTGATTCGATCCTCCTCACTCAATAAACATGTTTGCCTGCACAAATTATGCACTTTGTTCGGTTAAATCTAAATCGCCATCATATGAAAATCATTTTTCACAACAACAACATTTTCACAACATTTTCTCGAGAAAATTGAGATGGCCGTCCTTCGATAGAATGCGCGATGGCAGTTCGCTAGTGGTGGCAGTTCTTCGATAAGAGAATTCCCCGAAAATTAAACTATCGACATGAAATTTAACTATCGATAAGCAATGAAATTTTAATGACACTTTAAATACGATATCTATCGAAAATATACCGAATTAATGCTAAATACAGTTTTACTCGTGGCCGTTAATTTGAAAATTTGAAAAGTGTCAACTTTGAACATATTAAAAGATGTGTTTTAGTCTTCTCTGGCTTTGTTTAGCATATCACAACATCACCATTCAACCACATACGTTGCTTGGCCTTAGTCTTTTCCAAAAAGGCGGCTGCGTTTAGTTCCGGCCGTTATAATTTTTTTTCGTCTAGCTGGTAATTATAGCGCTCACATTTAGATGGCTTTTGGGACCGCGGCCGTTTAATCCAGAAAGAATCCGAGCACTGAGTGGCTAAAATCTGTTGCAGTTTACGAAGGTGATATCTGAGATAACTTTCGCTATCGGAGAACTCTGGAGTATTCGTCTTTATATTTGGAGCTGGATTGGATTCCAATGTAGCTTCAGACTCAGTACTTTCTATGGAAACGCCTAGGAATTGCAGATTCTTCTCATTTAAGTTTGTTTCTGTCGACGAAGATTTAGTTCGGACATCTTGGAGCTCATTCGGAGCGTCATTCTGTGGCTCCTGCAGCTCATTCTGAGTGGCATTCTTTGGCTCCTGGAACTCATCTTGGGGATTAAGGGGCTTCTGTGGCAATTTCTGATGTTTCTTCAAAATCTTTGACATTTTGTGGACCTCTTCATCAATGGTTTTGTCCTTTGCATATAAAATGACAAGATGCGGCTTGGGCTCCTCTACGTCGAATATCGTGAACTTTGGATCGACCGTTGACCTCCTATTGGCGGCCTTGTGTGATTTTTGCTGCTTCTTAACACGTGGCGGTATGACAATATTCATATTCTGAAATTGTTTGGGCTCAATGACATTGGCGACGACCGCCGCATAGCTGATAGCACCGTCGCCACCTGGCATAGGACGCGCACTGGCCAGACCCATGTACGCGCCCAGGGGCTTCTGACGCACGGGAAGGATCTGGCCGAGATCCTTGCTGCCGACTGAATGTCCATCAGAGCCTTCGGTGATCTTGTGGCGTATGGGCCTCCCCCCGTTGTGCTTGGGGAGGGGCGGCGGTGGCAACGGCCACTCTGACCAACTCAATTTGGAAGCCACTGGCTTTGTCTGGCGCCCCATCGCATTGTTTCCCGCCGGCCCTGGCGCGATCTTGCCCTGTACGAAGATGTTCTGATTAAGTAATTTTTACGACAAACAAAAAAAATCAAGAAACTTACTTTTGTTTTGATATTCTGTGCGCTCTTTGCTGGCATTTTATTTTTGTGTGATTTAAAATAAATTTCAGTTCCGTGTTGCCTGTATTCAGATCTGAATATTATAGTAATACAAATCGAGGTGAGGTGACAACTGGCATTCTCCGTCCAGTCAGTCGTAACTGTCTAAGTTTGAGCGTAGAATTTCCGACTTTTGTCTGAATCAGTTCTTATATATTTCTTTTTCTGAACAAAACGTTTCATTTCTCGAATTCAAAATGTTTGCAGCCGGACTCCTGCAACGTAGACTGAGCCTGAGCGCGTAAGTAGAGAGACCCATGTTTTGTTCATTAGAATTACACAGTGTACGCAACGAGAAACCTGCAGACTTCGACCAATATACCAGAAGAACTACAGTGATACGAAGTCCCCGAATCTCTACATGTGGGGCGGGGGCCTGGGCAAATTGCAGGGCGGTTTCAAGGAGGAGGAGTACTTCACCACAGTCAATCTGAATCTGATTGGGAAAATGCGCGGAAAGAAGGCTATCGCCGAGTTTTTGCCCAACTGGGATGAGTACCACAAGGCCATAGCCAATGACGCTCTTTACAACACCGCATTGATGAACAAGCACAAGAACGTACGCGAAGAGGCATTTTTCATGTCCGAGGTGGGTGCTGTCATAGCATATACATTGATTTCGTTCTCTTAATTTCAACTGAATCCGCCACAGACTGCTGATAACTTCAAAATACTGCAAGGACGTAACAAGGAAGAGGGGAAGTCCACTCTCGAGGACGATGCTGATGCTGGGCAGCAAGAGAAATTTGCCGCCGTACGGGCATCAATTGAATAGTAAACCGTTTTTGTTTATAATTTCATTGTTTGGGTAGGGTGAGCAAAGCTTTCTTAACCGTTGTTTGAAAGTTCTGTGCTCAAATAAAATTGTTAGTTCTTTATATTTAAAATTGATACTCGATAGGTGTATTTTTTGGGAAACAGGTTGGCAGGTCCGCAACGATGAAAATACTTATCGATAACAGAAACAGCTGTGGCGCGCGCAAGTTTCACAAATCGTCGCAATCGTTTGCATAAATCACACGCTATATATAACATATAACTATACTATATAATTGATTTGACTGGTATATAAGAGAAACATGTTTACACTGCGTCGTCTCAGTCAGCGCCTATACCCAAAGCAAATACAGTAAGTGTTCCATGAACATATTCTAGAAATTGCATAAGAAAATAGTATCGTATCGTTATCGTGCATACATACATATATTTGAACTATTTTCAATCTGCAGGCATTTGAAAATGTCACAGATCGGTGAACTCGGCAGTGGTGCCGGCAAGGGCGGTGGCGGCGGGGGCTCTATCCGCGAAGCTGGCGGATCTTTTGGCAAAATGGAGGCTGCCCGCGAAGAGGAGTTCTTCCACAAGCAGGTCGGTGGTGAGGCTGAATCGAGTGGATGCCGATTCTAATAGACTCTCCTTTGCAGCAAAAAGAGCAGCTTAAGAACCTAAAGACCAAGACGGAAGTCAAGACTCCAGATCCGGCCAAGAAATGAGCAATTTAATCAACCAACTGATTTGTATTTATTGAAAATCTTTGTTAAAAATATATACTATGTATGTTTAAAGTGGTTTCAGCACTTTTTACTTGATTGAATCAGCTGTTCGATTCTGGTTCAAACTAAGGTTCGCACGCGGTGGACCCACTCTGGATCGCCCTGCCATTTGTTTACGGATCGCAGTGGGGAGAAAAACGAGCGACTGATAACCGAGCGCTGATAAGACACCCGGAGACCTACAGATGTCCGCTTCTAGGCGGCAGCTGCAGACAGTTTTCACCGGTTTGGACGAGTGTGTGAGCATCGCATCGGACAAAGACAAAGCGCGGATGGCGTCGACTATACAAAATGGCCTGAAAGTGGCCCTGAGGAAGAGCATGAAGGATGCGCTCAAGTGCTTGGAGCCGGAGGCTATAAAGCGGCAATCGCACGCGGTCACCGCAAAGGTAATGTAATGATCAGGCCAGGCCTATGATAACGCTGGATAAGCTGAGTGCTGACTGCCGACATCTTATTGTTTGCCTTTAGGTGCTCCAAAGCGAGGCCTTCCGTCAGGCGCAACGTGTGAGCATCTACCTGAGCACCAGCGGCGAGGTGGACACGACAGAGTTGCTCTGCGAGATGTTTCGCCTGGAGAAGATGGTGTTTGTGCCCAGCTACGAGGGGGCCAGCATGAAAATGGTGCGTCTACGTGGCATGGAGGAGTACGAGAGCCTGCCCCTGACCAAATGGAACATCAAGCAGCCCGACTTCAAGGAGACCCGCGAAGATGCCATGACCAATGGTGGGTTTCAATATCATTAAGAGTGTTTAGAGCTTCTAGCACAATCTCTGATTCGCCTGCAGGTCACGGCATTGATCTGTTTATTGTGCCCGGTGTGGCATTCACCCGCTGCGGTGCTCGCATGGGCCATGGCATGGGCTATTATGACAAATTCCTGCGCCAGCACTCTGACAAATATCCCCACAAGAAGATCTCCTTCATGGCCCTAGCCCTCAACGAACAGATTGTGAGCCAGGAGGATCTACCGATGGACAACCATGACGTGCGTTTGCATAGTGTCATAACAGAAAAGTAAGCCCAGATCCTTTCGATCCTATATTTGTATAGATCCGAGCTTTTTAGCGAATTGTATAATCAAGATAAACTGACATTTCCCCATCTTCCGAGCGATCTCTCTTTAAAGTAATGGAAAATAGAATGAAGCTTAATAATGTATTGCAGGCAATCGAATGACCGATCTCTATCGTAGGTAGGGCGGGCGCGAGCGCAGACCACGCCCACGCGATCTGCCACTGTAGTGGGGCGAGGAGTAATGGGAGTCGCTGCCGCCAAAGTGCGATTCTGAGGTGGAACGATACGAGCCGCCACCAGACTCTGTCCAACTGGAGGGCGAGCCTATGCGCATCATTTTTTTTTGTCTGTCAAAGAAAAAAGACGGAGAATTAATGGAGAGTTGAGAGAGTGAAAGGACGTCTTATCGCTACCTAAAGGCAGCCGCTGCCGAGATGCGTGATCCCCGATTGCGACCCACTCGAGAGCCCCGCAGCATAGAGGGTATCTTGTTGTAGCCCGTTGGACCAGTGGGCTGAGCGCCACAGGTCTCCAAGGCCAGGAAGTCATCGACATGCAGCGACGGCGGGCGCGAGGTATTGGGCGGACGCGAACGAAAGAGATCGCCACGCGAGGGCGGCGGCCGGGCAAAGCCTCGTCCACGCACCGATGAGAGGAACATCTTCTTCTCTGGCCGCCCGGTGGCGGGCTCCACCTCCACACGCCGTGTACGGAAGCAGGGCGCTGTCGGCGTCATCTCGCGGTTGGACTGTGGTGAGCCGGAAAGATTCAGCGTGCGCTTCGACTCGCCGGAGGTGGCCAAGTCCGGATTGAGGCAGACATTGGCTAGGTCGGTGAGGTCGCAGGCTATGCGCTCGTAGAGCGGCTCGTTCATATCCTCGATCAACTCGATGGGCAGCGGCTCCAGCCAGTAGCGAGCCGTAAGCTGCGGATTCTCGGCAGTGGCGCAGTAGCGGGTGAAGATCGGCCGTGCGTCGTACTGGGTGACAATGCCTTCGGCCTGGGGCAGAAAAGGTTCCACGTTAAGGGATCCGCCACTGGAACTGGTGCTACAGCTGGCGGCAGGGTTGGCCCCATCATTTTCGGTTTCCACGGCGGGCGTTTCCATGCTGGCACTGCCCATTGCCTCCTGCCTGGACGCATGCAGGACAATCAGTTGCTTGAGGTCGCAAAGGGCAGCCTCATTGGCCAACAGTTTGTACTTTTCCAGCACTCGCAGGATGCGTGCCAGCACCGGCGGCCTGGCCATGTCAATGTCCTGAAACTCCACCAATTGCGCAAGCTCCATGGCCCCCAGCTTGAGGGTGCGATTCGGCATCGCGCACATCGGCGGCGGCGGTTCGATTTGCGTGAGCGAACGGAGCAGCAGGATCAGCGACTCGATGTTGGCATGGTACTCCACCGTCTCGTTGTGCAGGATGACGCGCTCCATCCAGGCCTGGAATTCGGTGAGTTTCTGCTTCAGCAGCTGGGCCAAGTGGTAAAAGGTGAAGCTGCAGAGAGCTAGATATTAGATATCACAGATCATTGGATGCTTGGCAAAATACTCACTCGTGTTCCGTGAGGATCACCAGATTGCGCACGGCCAGTATGGATATGCCATGGGTGACTTCGACGCTGGTTAGATTACTGAACACCGCATCGATGATCCGTGGTATGAGTTCCTTGGGCGGCAGGGCGGCTGAGAGATTCAGAGCAGGTTGAGCCGTCGATTTGTGGGAGATCAGGGATATGCCCGAGTCCAAGAAGCTGTCGAGGATGCGGTGCACCGCCTCCTGGCAGTTGGTCACCACCTCGTTGAACTCATTGAGGGCCAGCAGCGATTGGAACAGCTCCCAGAATTTGCCGGACAGAATCGAGAGCATGGAGCTCTTTAGCGGCGCAAAGGCGCACAGGCGCGTGGAGAAACGCAGGAGCCGCTCCAGATTGGTGGTGGGAATGCAGTTGGAGGTCTGGTACTCGGTGCATAGCAGCTCCGTGATGGTCTTGGCTATAAGGAGGGTCATGTTGGGGGCCAGATCCGAGAGCTGCATGCAGACGCGCTGCAGAAGCTCCGCCAGCTGCGGGAAGCTGGAGGGAGCCAGGGCCTCGACCAGCTTGGCGATCTGTCCGCTCTGCGGATGCAGGTGGGCGGACCACAGCTTCCGCTCGATGATCAGCCGCTGCTTGTGCTGTTGCTTCAATTGGTCGCAGAGCGGCTGGGGCATGGGCAGCGGGAGCGGCAGCAGTTCGGCCAGCAGCTTGAGTCCTGTTTTTAAGGGAGGCGTGGATGAACACTGGATGAATCTCTCGGGGCAAACACTCACCTGGTATAAAGTGCGCGGGTCCATCGATGTTCTTCAGCACCTCTCGCACCATCAGCGTCCAGAGGGACTTGTGCAGCGACTCTGCATCCTGCTCGTGCGGCTGGGTGTAGGCCAAAAGGCTTTTGACCACCTCCAGCTTGCACTGCTCCACCTCTGCGCCGGCCTGGCAGCGGGAGGGGTAGTAGTAGAGCAGATAGTAGACCTTCACCAGGTGATCGATGGCCGTCAGATCCTTGTAGGTGCCGTCGCGGCACAGTATTGCGTACGAGAGCAGTTCACGAAGGATCTGCAGCGTAGGCAGCATGATCTGGCAGCAGTGTACGCCCTGGATGGTCATCAGGGCGGGGGCATGAATGCCGGGCTGCTCAAAGTGCGTGCATAGGCGCTCCATGATCTGCAGCAGCAGCTGGACCCCATCCGCCGCATACAGCTGCAGGGCCACAAACCGATGCTTCAGCTCTTCGGTGCCGTGGGACTTCTGCCGGGGCTTGCTGATGGCCAGAAAGCGGAGGATGCGCAGGGCCATAATCAGGTCGCCGGGGAACGTGGTCAGATAGTCGAGGGAGCGACCAATCACCTCCACCAGCGGCATAATGTCGTCGTAGACGAACACATTGATCGCCTCCAGGGGCTTCATGTACACATACATCTCCTGCAGCACCGCCGACACAGAGGGCTCGAAGGTCTCGTGGTTCTTGGCCAGCTCCAGTATGACGCCGCCGTGCTCGATGAGGTAGTCCAGCTGCTCGCAGTAGCGCACACAGGCATCCACCATGTCCACCGCATAGCTCAGCACCGGGCTCTTGTACTTGGTGCCAGGGGAGCTCAGCAGCTGGCGCTGGGTCTGCAGCCGCTGCTCCTTCTTGATCAGATCCATGAAGATCTTCAGGTTGTTGTTCAGACCCAGCACCTCGATGGTGTGCTGGCGCCCGGAGGGATCGCAGGTCTGCGAGTAGATCGAGTGCATGTGCGTGGCTATCTTAATGGTGTCGTACTCGGGGCAGGCGGCTGTAAACGTGATGGCATCCAGATGGTAACGAGTCTGCACCTTGTAGGACAACTCGATGCCCAGGCGGGCCAGGCGGGGCAGCACGGGTCGAAGAATGGGTTTCCGTACAACTGGCGGGGGCGCCATCTTCGGCTCCTCCGCGGCGCGGATGCCAGCCGCTTTCCCCTCATCCGGCTTCTGCTCCACACTGTCGTCCATTGGCTTATCCTCCTTTCCCTCTGGCTTTGCCTCCACTACCCTGGGCTGGCTTGGCACCTCCTCCAGGCCCAGCAGTATGGACACAATCATTTGGGTCACGGGAAAGGCATCGTCCACAAAGTAATCGATGCCCACATGGGACCGGAGGAGGGTGTGCATCAGGTCCAGTGTGCAGAGGAACGTGGAGGCCGGCACCTCCTTGGGATTGCTCAGGATAACCAGCACGGCCTCGGCGAGCGAGTGCTGGACAAAATATGACTGCAGGGCGTTGCCAAAGCTCCGCTGGGCCGTGGGATCTGTGAGAACCTCGAACTTCTTGGAAACAGGCAGGAAGCGACGCGGCTGCTGGTAACTCAATTGGCTGTCGGTCAGGGCGTCCATGAGCATCTGGAAGGCAAACTCGATCTTCTGGCAGACGTCCAAGCGATTGGGATCTGGCGTCGCCTCAGGCACACTGGCATCCGTATCGAGAAAGATCTGGCGGCAGCATTGCTGGACACTGGCCAAGGCCTCGTACAAATGCAGCTTCTTGATAATGGCCTGCAGGGCGTATTTGGTTCTAGTAAGCTTCGCCGTCTTCAGGAAGTCCATAACCATCTGATAACCGTTCGTCTTGGGCGAGAGGAAATTCTGGACTCCCAGCCTAGTGTCCAGCATGGCATAGACCGCCTTGAGTAGCTGAAGCTTAATGGATAAGGCCATGTAGGGCTCTTTGTAGAGGCTGAGCACGGCCTCGAACAGATCGAAGTCTTGCTCCTGAAGCAGGTGTCCAAACAGTTGCTCATTGCTGCCCAGTAGCTCGGCCATGCGGGCCCCCAGCTTGATGTGGCGGATCTTGAACGCCGGCTGCGGCTGCATGCAGGCCGCCTGGAAGCTCAGAGCAACCTGCAGGACATTCGCCGCCTGGCGCAGATGCGCATCGTCGTGGCTGAAGAACTGCTGCAGGACAAAGTTGCGCCGCTTGTAGTGCTGCGAGAGGTATCCCAGCTGGTTGTTCAGCTGCTCGCCCAAGTAGACAAACTGTTCCCGCTCGTCCGCACTTAGCCCGTGCTCGTCGCTGAAGGCGGTGACGCTCTCGCAGCGTGTCTGCAGCGACAGCTTCTTGAAGAGCAGCCGCAGCGTTTCCAACTCCTTGTTAAGGTGAGCCGCCAGGTCGCCTTCGTAGACCAGCAACGGCCTCTGCCACGGCTCGAAGGCGTCGATGGCTGGCGGGGCAACGGCGGCGGCAAACTCCAGCTCACGCTCGTATTCGGCCGCTGCAGCCACGTCCTCGGCCTCGTCCTCTTCGTCATCGCCAATGATCTCGTCGTCGCTGAGAATGGGCTCGAATTGTTCCTGGGGCGTGCCAGAGCGCTCTTCGTCATCGCGGTCGCGGTGCAGGGACTCCGACGAGTGTCGATAGCCACGCGAGGCCTGCATTTTGTAGTGGGATCGCGAGTCGTCATCATCGTAGTCCATGGCATCGGGCGAGCGCGGTCTGATGGGCGAGTCTATCGATGCTGGCGGAGTTCGAGGCCACTTGTGCTCATCTGCATCCGACCGGGAACGATCGGAGCGCTTGCGACGAGACCGATGGCTGGAATACTCCGGTGAACGCGACCAATCTCTCGATCCCTTGTCGCGCGAACTGAAATCAAAATAAAAGACTGTTAATCTTCTTTCAGGAGTGAACAGCGTCAGAGCATACCATCTGATGTACTCCCTTTCGTTACTCTCCGAGTGCGTGTGCGTCCGCATGGGTGGCGGTGGAGGCGAGCGGTCCGTGGAATGGGTGGAGCGTCGCAGGCGACGCATCTCTCGCTGCTCCTCGTCGACATGCTGATGGTAATGCTGATGTTCGCGCGACAGCCCGTACTCAATGTCATCGTGCTCGTAATCGCTGACAACAACGGCCTTGTGCGGCACCAGCAGCTCTGTGGGAATCGGCTCCGCCCAGTCATCCTTCAGCACCTCCTCCTGCAGCAGGACATTGTGTGCCTCCGTACTGAGATTGCACATCTCCGGACCCGCAGGCTCGCAGGGCAGCGTTGGACTGGCTATGGGTTGCGTCACCGAGTTGGTCAGGATGCCATAAACGGCCAAGGTGATGGTGCTGTACCACCCGCGCAGCACGAGACCATCGGTGGGGATCTTCTCTCGCGAGCAGTCCAGGTGGATGCAATCGTTCTGGTTGTAACGCAGCAAGCCCAGGTTCTCAAACGCCGAGGCACCCGGCATGCCCAGGTCGTTCACAAAGAACTCCAGATCGAATTTGGATGGGTTCGTGGCGCCTAGACGAACTCCGCCCGGAAAGTCGGCCTGCACCCGCGCACCCAGCGGAATAATTCTCACTTGCGTGATGAAAACCGGCTTCGGGAACTGCACCAGATCCAGGTTTATGTCCTAAAGCAAAGTACGACGTGTGAAACAAAAGCCGTGTATGCTGGACACCGTTGCGCTACTCACGGTGATATCTTCGTGGGAGAAGGTGTCGAAGAACAACAGCTCGGCTCCATCGTCGACTTCGGTCATGTTGCAGTCTCGGTTCGGTCCAATTTTAAATAAGTTTCTTAAATTTATTTTCCGAAAACTGGCGTCAAGAGTGTGACCACTTACACATAATCACACACACAATGAGAGAGTATATTTTGGTATTTTTTAAGCTGAAATCGATAAAGGTAAAACAATCAGCTGTTTTTTATCGATAAGCAGATTTTAAATTTCTTGAACTTTTTACGTTCTGTTTTCTACTTCGTTCTTACTTCATACATACAAAGAAAATATAGTGGACTAGGCCTATTGGGGACACCACTTAAAAAACGCACCAAAAACTCAACCTCTTGGGTGGTGTGGAATAAGTTTCTTTATTTCATTATTATAGGGTATATATATATAGAGTAGGAGTAGGTCCAGAAGAGAAACTCGATCTGCTACATATGCCGGGGGCATCTTCGGGGCATCCAGCACCGCCTCCAACCGCAAATGGTTCATGAAATGAACCTCCTCCAATATATGCAGATTCTAGTCAGTCTCTGTTTTAAAGGTATCTCAACGATATTTAGCAATGGAAACCAAGAATTTGGCAAAAGGAACGTTTTTTCTCTTACGTTTTATTTGTTTGATCTTGATTCATTAATCGGATCGGACCGAAACGAATACAAAAATAGAGCAATATTGTTTCCAATCCTTGACGGGGACCGATTAACCCATTGTAGGCCAAGGGGGTATTTTAATATTCCACAGACAACAATGAAATTTTAATAATTTTAGCGAAGTTCAGATGAGAGATATCTTGTTTTTTTTTCTGTTCAGAGGAATGAATCGTTAATATTTTCAGCCATTTACCTGAAGTAGTTGAACTATTTAAAGAGGGGGCTAAAGTGGGCTAAGTTCGTTTTTTCATCATAGCGAGACGATATATTATTGTTGAGGAGGAAAAACAGCAATCTCCGTAGCAAGAAAACAAGTCAAGTATTTAAAATAAGCCATTCAAGTAGAGAATTGATTCATTAATCTGATAAAATTATTTGGGCAGGGCTGAAAGTTCGAACTAGCTAGAAATATTCGACGGAATATCAAAATCGAGGAATATGTATAATAGAAATTTAATTCGTCAGTACATTTACGGTATATTTTGGTATATTACTGATTGTCGATAAGACCGATAGCTCTTCTCCCTGAGTCCGGAAAAAAAATTGAACGGGTCGGTTGTGGCTGTTCTGTTCGATTGATTGTTTTTCCCTACTTCGCTCGAAATAAATTTTGCAACGCTCAAGAATCAACACACGAATGCTTTATCTTAATTTGCTAAAGTAAAGAAATTGAAATCCTTGTGTCACGCAATACAAAACGGGAAGTGACGCGTGAGTCCTTTGAAACAGTCAGAAGTTTGTCAAACAATTTGAATGAGTGTCGTCGTCTTCCTTTGATCTGCCGCGAGTGTACCGACAAACGAAAAAGAGAGGAAGAGATAAGAGTGCGATACCATTATCAATAATCCCAGAACCCCATCATGTCGATCTCGTGCAAATGCTCGAATTTTGTGGCCACCTCGTCCAAGCTGCAGCCCATCCGCTCCTTTGACGTAACGGCGTCTCCATCGCCGATGCCCGGAATCGAAGCTGAAGCCGGTGCTGTCCTGTCGACCCGGTTGTCGCAGGTATTTCAGGAAAAGTACCCCAGAGATTTTCCATTCTACACGGAGTTTATGGATTTCTTCAAGCACGTAAGTGTTGGATCCCATCGAAATTACAATTACTATCATTCAGTCCGAACTTATTCTATATACGCATCGGTCTTGCGTGTGTTTTCCAGTATTGATTGAGTGGGTAGTATGGGAAAGAGGGAGACGAGAGAGTAAGCGAGCATAGCATAAAAATAAGCAATAACAATGGGCCTATGTTGAATGCGAGTGTGTGTGTGTGTATTATCGTTCTTTATGCTTTGTGTGCCGGCCTCTATGGCTTTGCGTTTGCTTTGCCTTATTCTTTGCTTTGCTGCCTATTCTTGAGGCACGCACAATCGTGCTCACAAACATACCCACACACACACACACGCATAAATATGGGATAGAAGAGGCCTAGGCAAATGGAAAGGGAAGAAGAAATAGGGTCATTTCATCCATGAGAAACATGTACACATGTACATATGGTGTGAGGCATGATGGCATCCCATCCCTTTTCAAATTTATTTTCTGTTTTTGGCAGGCCGGTCCAAGTGCATTTCCTTTGCCGATCTTTCTCCTTTGGCCCAGCACCTGTTTTGTGCCTGGAACACCCTGTATACGCGTTTTCTGTCGCCTCCTTCCTGATCGACGGTATTTTTAGTTCTCTGCGTCAGCTTCTGCTTCTGTTTCGCTTGGGATATTCTGTTTTTTTGGTTTTTGTAGTGCCTTTTATGATTTATGCGCTTTTGCTTTCCGTTTGTCACGCCCTCTCTTGTAAGTAATTTGCATAATTTCATACACATTTTCCAGTTACTTCCCCCTCAAAGGCGTCGCAAAGGGTGGGACCCGGGACTGACTGGGCTGTGACGGGTTAAGTGGAGTCGGTTCCACATTTTAACATTTGAATGTTATTCTCCGGGAATTCTATTGTTTATTTGTTGATTTCATTATGAAGCGTATGCGTTTAAAAACCCCGTCTGCCCCACCACTTGAATGAAAGTTTAATTTTACCTTAACCCCCAAACACTATTATTCATTTTATTTGTATTTTTCCATTCGATTATTATTCTTCCTCAACAAAGCAGAACCTCTATCTCCTTCTCTCTATCTCTCTTGCTCTTTGTAGCCACCATCTTGTCCACAATTTTCAAGGTTAAATCTTGCTATCCCCACTTTTTCTTGTCTCTTTTATCTCTCACCTTTTCATCCCCGTAAGCACTTGTCACGTTTTGACAGCCACTGAGCTGATCCCAAGTTTGAGCAGCTTTAGGGACCACTCGCCCCAGAGTGGTTCATTGTGGGAGGAGGAGGATTCTGTTCAACCATCAATATTTGATTTTGTATTTTCTATAATCACGCCCATTGCACAGCCCACCGCAAGATTGTGTATGTAATTTGAGTTTTGCATTTGTTTTAATGCCAAATTGACTTGCGGTTTGATATTCGCCTTTGTAGTTGTTGCTTTTGTACTGCAGCCACTTCAAAAGCGCTGGGGCGTACAACAACATCAGAGCCAACAAAAACCATCATCATAATAATGGGCAGAGTCGAGACAAATAGACCAAAAAGTGTTATTTTGAATAATTCAAAGCTCAAAACAAAATAAAAGCGAGAACAACAAGAAATCGTCAAGCAAATGCCGAATAACAAATGCACTTACATATGTAGATAAAACTTAAACTGTTGAAAACTTAAACAGGGTTTTACATCCAAAAGATCATAATTCTTATATGACTAATAAGCGGGTACGTTCATCAGCTGACGTCAACTGTCATCAGCTGTTTTTTGTTACAGTTTCAAGCAATAGAATACAGCAATACATGTACATTCTCTATCCATAAGTCCGAAAATGTCATACGATGTACATTATTAGAACCTTATCAAGTCATTGGTACTCTTACACATCTATAGGGTATGACTTATATTAAAATATACAGACATAGTATATATCACAGCATATGTATGCCTATAGATATATGTATGTATGTACATATGGATGTACATATGTATTCCCCTATACAGAGCCAAAACGGAACGCTTTTAGAATAAATTACGAAACCAGCGACAAAACACACAAGCAAAAGAAGTAAAAAAGCACAAAGAGCAGGCAAGAAGAAGACGAAAAGAAGGTGGAGGATGGGGTGGAGAATAAGGAGAGCGACAGTGTGGAAGCGGGGCAGAGGTGCGGCTGAGGAAGAACAACAACGGCAGCAGAGCCAAAATACAAAACAAAAAACTTGTTTATAATGTTTTTTTTTCCTCTCCCTCCCTCTCCCTCTCTTGTGTGTGTGTGTGTGTGTGCCTGTGTTGTTGGATAAACAAGTTTCTGAGATTTCCAAATGCGGCCGGTCCGGGGTTTGGATTCGGATTCGTCGTATTCATCAGATTCGTTAGTTCGTTGGTGTTCGGTAAACCGGGCACTGTGCCCTGGGCCTACTATGCCTACTGGGCGCCCTCTCAGCGAGGGGGAGTCATATGTATCCATGGGACTGCGGGGGGATCAGCAAGGGACAGAGAAAGAGATGGTTTTGGGGCATTTTGATGGTCCCTCAGTTGACAGGCCGGCAGCTAGCCGCACCCCCTTCGGCCCACACAACCGCACTCTATACAAGAGCTGCGTAGGCCTCTCCTAATCATCATGGGACTGCGTAAAATGTTTATTATACACAATTTTATGCATAAATATTTTTCCAAAAACTTGTCCAACTTTTGTGTCTTTTTTTTTTGATGGCAGATGGTGCTGGATGGTGCTGTGTGTGTGTGAAGTGGGGAGCAGTTACAAGGTTGCATACTACACTAAATTTGTTGTTTCAAGAGATAATCACCATTCACCAAAAGCCACAAGAATCAAGAGGAACTAACGATTAATTTGTATCGTAATATGCTCACCCGCCACTGAGCCTGGAGTTTGGGTGGAATTAACAAGGATCTTAGAGCAGAGCAGTCGGGAAAGTCCTCAATGGAAGAGGAGAGCGCTCCCTGTAATGAGAGTGGAGTACCCGGGGAGGCTGCAAGCTGTACATACAGTTTGAGATGCCTTGCAGGACTGCTAACAGCATCCTGAAGGAAGAGAGTAAAAGAAGATATAGCCGATCACCCACCGCTCTGTAAAACGAGAGGCTATGTTTAAGGGGCGCACAGTTTTAGACGAACTGTGAGCGGCAAACGGTTGTGTTCACTTCTGTTCCAACCTCCCCGGTCCGCCTTCTAATTGCTTCTTCGTCTGCTTGATTGCACGCCCGTCTCTTATCAATTTGTCGATTGTCCAGCGCCCACTTGCTAGACTCGCAGACTCTCGCGTTCTCTCTTTTGCACACACACGCACACGAACACACACCTAGCTGTTTCTAGGTTATCAAACGGTAAAAGAGCTTCGACACACACAAACACACACACACACATATGCACTCGCTGCGATTCTGCTGACGTTTGTCTATCGTCAGTCGTGAGACTCTGCCTTTTGATACCCACACAGAGGGTATTAGTATTATGATAAGAGGTTTGCAAAAGCGCGTCCCCCCTTCCTGCAAAAATGGATCACTACTACAATATCATGGAGAAAGTTCGATCGTTTGAAAAAACCAAATAGGGATGAACATTTGCCATGAATATGGATGGATGGATATGCAAAGGGTATTAAACGTTTCGTTGCCTCTTTTTCTTGTTTTCTATTTTTGTATGGTTTGGTGTTGTTTTTCGTCTGTGGTTTTACGAGTATAGCCCTTTACTTTGCAAATGTTCAGTAAAAATCATTCTTCAAAAAGAAAAACAAAAACGAGTTTTTTGATCAAAACAAATTCAACAGTCCCCCAGATGCATTCATATGCTAATGCAGTGTTTATTTTTAGACCGACGAAACCGAAAACCCTTTTCCAACCCACTGACTACGTGAAAACTACAATCAACAAAATAAACCAAATAAAAAAAAAAAACAATAACCAAGTTTTTTTGTTTTATTAATTTACTATAAGGCACAAGTTATCAATCAGTCATGACTATACTATATGCCTATAAGTGTGCGGGGATAATGTAAGGCGCGGCTTTATAAATAGGCATTATCACATGTAAAGTGCTCTCTCGAGTGTGCGGGATGGTCTGAGAATTTCTACTGGTTTCTGTGAAATAATAATAGTAATTCCTAGCTGATAAGCGGGCGAGGGGCATGAGCAAAGTGTCGGCAAATCAGCTTGCAAAAGATAATGTTAGTGCTACTAAATCCTGTTGACAGTGTAAGAAATATGTTGCAGAGAGCAGGATACAAAGCATATGTATGTAGAGACAGGTCACAGTTCGAGAGTCACTGCTGGGGGGTGCCTGGTGCTGCTTCCTTCCTGCTCGAATCAGAGCCAGCCACCCCACTCCCTCTGCCCCCCTTGGAGAGAGCGCGCGTGTCGCTTAATTGAAAACCAATGTTAATCTTTGACAAGTTTAACCTTGAATGCGGCAGCAGTCAATCTTTACATACATATGTATGTATGTATAAACTCACTGAAATATAGTAAACATATATGTACATTGTATGTACACACTGGACCGCACCAATGTTGCCAATGCAGTGACACTCGCAGGCCGTTTAATGAGCGTGTCAAGACGCTGTTAAACTTTCAACCTTTTGGCGCTCAGAAGGAGTGTGTGTGTGTGTGTGTGTGTGAGAGAGTGTGTGGCACTGGCGGGGCAGGCCTTGTAAACTCTGTCAGGGCAGCCATTGCACCCCAGTGTAAACAAAACTATAAATTCTCGAATTGAGAAACTGTGTGCTTGGCTAAAAATAGAAACTAAATGAACAACAACAAAAAAAAGCACCTCTTTGGCGCAGAACACAACGTAGAATTTTCAAATATTCTACGCGAATATTTTATTTTGCGTGTGCGCTGCGGTTCTGTTGTGTGTGAGAGGGAGAGAGATAGAGTGAAGAGGGTTGGGATTCTCTTTGGGGTTGGGGGTTGATTATTGTTGTTGGTTTATTGTCGGTCGCTCACGTTTACTTGGCGTGATTTTTGTATTTTGGCGAGGGGTTAATATCTTTCTTCTCTCCCTGCAGACCCCTCCCTGCCATCCAA